ATCATATATATATATATATTTTTAAGATTCCATTTAAATATAAAGCTGTAATCTAAAAAATATTACAAATTGTGAACTTTATTCAATTTATAGAATTCTGGGGGGAATATGCTTCATTTTTCCATGGGAAAAATTTTTTTTCGGCGGGATAATTGCTCTCCCTTTACTTCCCCCTTTCGAATAGTCTTTGCTGCCAGTTTCTATGTTTGACTCTCACGTAGGTCTTTGTGCCGGATCGGTAAAGAGAGGATCGGTACGAATAAATTTCAATTTGCAAGCGGTTCGAAATGAGCTTCAATTATGACTTATTACCAGTATACCGGCGCGAAACACAGTTATTATTCGCGCTACATCGTCACCTCGCGACGGGTCGATTCGCTTCTGGGAATTCAATTTAGCATTTCTCTTGCATAAATTCCTTCGACCGGCCCCAAAATGCAGCCGACGGATGGAACTGCGTGGTTGCACCGGCGAGCGGTTTACCCGCATCTTCTCGAATGAGAGAGACAGGGGAGCGCCATTAGGCCCAAGTTATTTTCCTTTCAGAAACCGCGTATTATCCCATTTGCTCGGGAAAGCATTCGTATTCCCAGTGGTAACGCTGTATAACCTTCGTTTCTTTTGAAAAGTTGCGAATATAATCGGCCGGGCGCACGTTACTCTCGCCGACCCCATTTTTCGAGTTTTGCAATAACGCTTTCTTTGCGCGAGTGAAGCCGGATTGAGGATGAAAAGGATATATCGACCGCACTGTCTTCTTTCGTCATAACTGCGCATTATCTTGTTAGTGCGTCAAGTATCCTTTCAAACACGCGCGGGAACGCGAGTCGATCTCGATGCGTGTGACAAGTGGCAAAAAGCGACAAGATTCCTTTATAGTTTATATAGTTTATATCATGTTAGTTTTTTAATCTTCTTATCTTCGATATTATTTGCCTCTTCTTAGTTTTATTTGAAAACTTTAGAAAATTGACAGTTATACTTTTATAAAATTTTAATATAAAATAAAAACATTTATATTTGAGTTCCCTTCCATTATATCATCTTTTCTATTTTATTTTTTCTCAATCGATGATAATTATTTATAATTTGCATTAAAAAAAAATTAAAGAAAGAGTTCTCTAGAGCTTCCGTCAGCGTAAATTTCGACATACTGATCAATGATGCGTTCAAAGCGAGATAAAGAAAGTAATAAATCATTCGATAACGTCCGCCAAAAATAGCCATCCATTTGTTCGCTCGTTAGTATCCTATTTTGCGAATACACTAGCTCCTTTTTTGGTTACTTTCTAATATTCGGCACCTGCGCACACTTTTTTTGACGCGCAACACCTTTCGCCCGCGCAAATCTTATCGGAAATCGACAAGTCTCGGAACCGCGATGTCTTCTCATCATCGTAATCATTATAAATTGACAATTATTGACCATCAGAATTTACTTTACCGCCGTCTTTCGTAACACAAACGAACAAGATTGTTCGAAGGTTTGCGATCGAGATACAGTTAATAAAAATCGTACAGAAAAAAAACTGCTGGTTGACGAAAGAAATAATACATTTGAAAAATATATTATACGTAGATATGCATTGCAATATTTAAGAGACAACGTTTATTACAATTATTTCTCATGATTGAAGTACAAAATTTAAAATTAGTGACGAGAAAGGAAAGAAACGTTTAACTGGACCCCCGTATAAATATGAGAAAGATATATGAAAGAGTCCCAATTCTCTTTTTATCTCGTTTGCGCAACGAATGTGCCATTCTTCGGCTTTCGGATAATTGAAGGTAGAATGCATTTCCACGGCTACCATTGCATGAAACGATCCGGCGAAGTGCGTGCGGCGCGTCGAATTAATAACGCATCGTACTCGTGCACGTCAGGCCACCGTCAGGCTCTTCGGGGAAGTTCGGTGAGTCGATGAGAGAGGAACACGTTAAAACCGACTGTTTACACGAGCCGGTACGAGGGAACGAAAACGTGACACGGAGGGATACGCGCCGAATGAAGGATCAACCAATCGCGTAGCCACGGTGAATGGAGTCTGTCGAAGCACCGGGGGTGGACCCCTTTCGGTGAGCGAGGAAGGACGGCATCTCTCTCGCACCGTGATGGCGAGCGCGAGTGAAAGAGAGAGCAGGATGAACAAATGAGTACGATGAGTTACGGCACGGTGTAAATCTCGGGCTAATGGTTGCCTAAACGCGAAACCTGCCGGCTCGCTCGCTCGCTCGCTCGCACCGGACTTCTCCCTCTTCCCCCTTTCCTTCCCCTCCCCTGCGGAGCGACCGAGAAATTTAATAATCCAACTAATGGGGCCCGCGCGCGGTGGCTTATTATAGTTATACGCGGCTCCGGTCCCGGCGAGGATCGACCCCGACGAGAGGCGAAGGGGTCATCGATGGGATTTTATCTAACTCGTTTCGATACTCGCTGAGTACTGGCGATCGGATCGAGAAGCGGAATTTACTTTCCATCCTTACGTCGAGGTAGAGATAATATTTCATGATCCTACGTATTTTTATGAACATTCGGAATTTATCGAAATTAATCGCCAATTATGATTAAGACACTATACCGTACACACAAACACTCTCTCTTTACGAAATTTATATCTTGTAATAATTTATATAAGATATAATTATTTATATTTTATAGGAGAAATTATAATTTATGAAATACTCTGAACAACAATAATTGATTATTACGTCAAGTAACATTGATAATGTTGAAATAAAGACGAAGTGTTTAATAGTAATCCATTTGTCGGATTAACTTGCATCACGCGATTAAAGATTGAAACCGATCACCTGCGTTCAGATAAACAAGCGAAAAAGAAATACGAAACAGAATTTGCCGTGGGATTGCATTAAAATGATTTCCTGGAGAAGCAAACGCCTCCGCAGGTCGGCGACGTGGACGCTCTCTCGGTCCGGGAGAATTTTTAAACGATCTTCGTCGGCGAACAAGAAGGATCTTAGACGGGGTAGACGGGAAAGGGCTTCGTGGGTCCCGGCGAGCGGGCAGTAAATCAGGCCGACGAACGTTTACGGGGGTTTTTGGGGAATGTTGAACAAACAATTGACGGCTAATAAAGCGACGTGCGCACCACGGGATGCCACGTGGGAAGGGATCGGATTAAGTCGCGCGAGACACCATAGATCCGTATCGTTTTCCACGGATTCGTATATATATTCGTTCTGCGCGCGTACCAATAAGAATCGCTTTTTACGCCCTTATAGCCACGTTTAAACGCTCCACGGATCGTGCGGACCGCTGCGCGAAATTTAATACCCGGCAGACATAAAGTATCGGCGATCGAAATCCTCGTACGCCACTTAATCGATAACACGCTGCGACGTCGCAAATTACGTTCTTTACGCCGGCAAAGATGCCTTGGATCGACGCTAACATCCGAAATTGCGAGTTGCGAAATCATTCCGACGACGGCGACACAACGAGGCTTTGACATAAAAATAATATATAGAATGACATAATGACACAAACATCTATTATTTTTTGAATGCGAAATTTGTTTATAACAAAATTAGCATTTACTTGTCTTTAGGTCATTTTTATTCCTTAATAAAATGAAATTTTTATTCGCTAATAAAATCGGTTTTACAAATATTTTACTATAAGTGATTTTATTTAAAAACTTTTTATTTTCATTTACAATTATTTCTAATATAAAATGAATAATTGCCGTGGAGATAAAGATTTTATTTTATCGGTAATAAAGACTTCTCTCTTGTTGAACCTTTGTTGCTTCCTTTTGATACTCACTGGTGACACAGCATACTCGCGAAAGTACGGTTAATTACCGGCGGACGCGTGCTAATCAACAGAATATGACGATTGCGTGGCATTTTGCACGGCACTCCCGACTTTAATCACACTTGATGCGATGCGCACTTTATTACATTGCAATGAGAAAACAAAAGAATTCACGCACCGCGGCGATATTTATCTGTTGCTAACAAATAGTCCGAGTAAAAGATTAATTATACGAGTTATTATCACTAGAATTAATTATTTGTGCAGGTTTGTAAAATCTATTTCTTTAGCATTGCTCATTGTACCTCAAACACACGTTGCGCTTACATATATTCAATTAGATTTTTTCGCTGGTTTAAATGTAAATTGCATGTCATTTTCGAATTGAAAGTGCAAAGTAATATATGAAACTGTCGGAATGAGTGAAATATAATGGAAAGACATAATAAATCGTTAAATAATAATAAGTTCGTGTTTGAAATATATTATTACATACTGTATACAGTGCTATATTTTGATTATTTATTTTTTGATGTTCCATCGCATATCTTAATCTTGATCATTGACTCGATTCACATCGTATCTTCTCTTCGAGAGAAAATATTTTCTTTTTTAATTTTATAATTTTATTTATTAAATATCTATAAAGGACAAATGATAAACTTAATTGCACAAAATGTTGAAATATTAATTATTTTAATGCTTTAATTTGAATATATTTTTGCTTTACAGATCAACGTATTCAACAATTCTGCTGCTGCGCATTGTATTGGTGAGTTAAATAATTTTTCCCTTTAAATCTTGAGGTAAATTATAAATAAATAAAGGCAAAATAGTTTTTCCTGCGAAATATATATATTCCGTCTAATTCGAAATTTTTACTTTTTCTTGCGTATACATGATTGAAAATGCCGGGAATTCTTAAATATTTATCTGTTATGTTATTCTTTATAATTATATAACTCTACAATGTAGACAATATAACTTTGCAATGTACAAAAAAGATAGAACAAACTTTTGATATTTAATTGATTTGATTTTACAATAATAAATTTATAATTCATTAAATATATATTGATCAAGAATATTTAATTGTATATATACATTTCCGAACGAAAATATCGAACTGTTTTGAGCTTTTTTGGGTCATAATTAATTAAATTAATTAATAAACTTTTTTTTAAGATGCCATGATATTTTAAAAAACGCAATTAAATTTATTGTTTTCTTACATACAACTGTATAAATTTGTATGAATTTTGGCATTTTGTTTATTCAAGATTTATCATAATTTTATTGTTTTAATTTTTAGTATATATAGTTATCTCTAAAGATTAGCGAATTTTCAATTTTTGTCCTAAGAATGCTTTTCATGGATGTTGAGAATAAAGATAAAAACTCTGGGAAGGAAAGAATTTTTTAATATCGATGTAAAAAAAGAAATATAAATCTGAAATGATTCTTTCTCTCGGAGCTTCTATACCCTTGCTCTTTCGAGGGGAATGAATAGGTCGAACCAGTTTTTCGGCATCCATGAAATATTTCGCAAGGCGCTAGGTGTCGGTAAGAAATTAACGGCCTGGTAAAACGTCCTGCTTATGAAATGTAAAATAAGATTGCCATAATTTATAATTTAATAACAGACTAAAGAGGCTTATTAAGAAGCGCACAGTTTCCAACATAGTATCATATTTATTACAACCAGTTTTGCGCGGACTCCTCCTCGCAGAAAAGAATGAACCACATCTTACAAAAAAACGGGAACAAAAATGCCATTCACTTTGAAATATAATCGATAATATTTTCGACATATTCATATAACACACGAACAAGAGAAACATATAATTTATACTTTTATTATGTTTTGTAATATTGATGTCTTTTGCGTATATACACGGAAAAAAAATGCTGTTGCTTCAATTAAAGTCTACGTCACGGCTGTCACAGACAT